TGTAAGAAACATCCGAAGGTCAACAACTTCAATGACCTAGATGTGTACACAAACATTTCGTTTGTTTTATGAAGAGTGAAAAATAGGAAGAGCTAGGGCTGGGAATTCACAATTACGTGTACAGAAAGCAGAAAAAAGTATTGATACAAAAGTCATAACAGTTATATACAGCAAACTTGATGGTTAAATTTAATACCGTCTCGGCTTTACTGTGGAAATGTTATACTAATCAAAACATTAAAACACTCCACGACCTCTACTAATCATAATCCATATAATTACACATTAGATCTTTTGTTGTTGTTTTTTGTAAATTTGTATTGCCACCTATGTTAAATATTTATATTTCAACACGTGCATTGCCGTTACGCTTTGAATTTGTAATTCTTGTCAATCGTGAGTTGCCTGACAATGACTCACTTCTATAAGCTGAAACGTCGCAGTTTTAATTGATTAAAAAACGTGTTCATTTTAAAATTGCTAACAACATTAAATTTAAGTGAAACATTCGCTCCTTTTGATGTAAAGACGTGTTAGTTAAGTTTGATTCTAAGCCATCTGTATTTTTAGTATGTTTTTTGTACCTGTACATAGTATAAAGTTATAGTATTTGAGCATAAAACGTGTCATCTTTGTTTTACAAAATATATTTTACCCATTTTTGTTTTGAATATTCCATCTTGATTCGAATAAAACTTTCTGTTGCTGCTACAAATTTAATTATGGAATCTTAATTTAGAACAGAATTTTCGCCATACTTCAATATATATACAGAAACATTGAACTACAACTTTAACAGTAAAAATATAAGAAGTACTAAAGCTGAAATTAGAGTGAATCTATGGAAAATTGAAAAGTATTATAATTATAACTACATCACTTAGTAGATTCTCAGTGGCCAAACCATTTTTCATATTAAAATGCAATATTGCGAAATTGAAATTAAAACTTATTTTGTTAAAATAATGACATTCATAAAAAGAAATTCAGTCAAATATTCTATGGAAATACAATTCGCTGAACAGTTTGTAAAAAAAATGCAGATGATCAATTAATTAGAAGAATTATTGTAGGACAGAATTATAAAGTATTGTTTGTTTGTAATTAAGCACAAAGCTACACGATGGGCTATCTATGCTCTGCCCACCACGGGTATCGAAACCCGGATTCTAGTGTTGTAAGTCCGCAGACATACCGCCGTGCCACCGGGGGGCAATTATAAAGTAACAAAGAAGAGTATAAATCCAATATCCGCATGACGTTTTTTTTAACATCAACACCGATAACTCTTAAAAATTCTGAGAGAAAACATAAAGGAACACGGTTATGGAAACATTTTATACATTGATGCTCGAATATTTTTCATAGTCGTGAAAAACAATGTGAGAAAAAATAATTAGTTATAATTAATGTATGATGTAATTATAAATGTTTTTATAGTTTTTCAAGGTACACTTGGACGACAGGTAAGTAAAAAGGACAAAATAATTGGTATTTTTGGGTCTGATAATTAACATTGTAATTCGATTTCAAATGACTTGAAGATAAGGAGGCTGATATAAATTGCTTCACAATAAAACACAATTATTTACAAATATGTACGCGAGAGCAACGGTAATACCAAGACGCATTCTGGTGGCTACTAGACGAGTCTTAGGAGACAATCGATGCAAGATAATCACGTAGGAAAATTCTGTGACGATTGTGTTCAACAAAAGTAAGACGAAGTCTGAGAAAGAACAAATGCTTAGGACTATATTTAATCCTCAGTCTCTCGGAACTTTTCAGATTGGCGTGTCACCTACGTGACTAGGCAGCCCATCTTAAGGAAAAGAGAAAACCAGAGTTTTTAACTTCTCTATCTCTACACATGACCAAAAACTAGACATTCCACTCAGACCTCCCTTATGAGTCATCCAGCACATAAGTACCAGGATAAACAGGTTCTAATCCTTCACCTACGAACGTGGGGAACAAACCTGCCCTAAGGATAAGATTAGTGTCATTTAAGCTTGGGTATATTTTAGCTGTTCGTTTGGAACTTTTAACTGAATACTTTAGCTGAACTTTTGAGAAATTGTCTGAATAAAGATATGTTTACATTTTAAGCTATGACGAGATATACGTGCGATGTCTACAGGACACTTTAGTAACAGAGATGTGTAATCATGGCCATAGCGATGTCTACAGGGCACTTTAGTAACAAATGTTTAATCTTGGCCATCGTGATGTCTACAGGGCACTTTAGTAACAGATGTTTAATCTTGGCCATCGTGATGTCTACAGGGCACTTTAGTAACAGAGGTGTGTAATCATGGCCATAATGATGTCTACAGGGCACTTTAGTAACAGATGTTTAATCATGGCCATAGTGATGTCTACAGAGCACTTTAGTAACAGATGTTTAATCTTGGCCATCGTGATGTCTACAGGGCACTTTAGTAACAGAGGTGTGTAATCATGGCCATAATGATGTCTACAGGGCACTTTAGTAACAGATGTTTAATAATGGCCATAATGATGTCTACAGGGCACTTTAGTAACAGAGGTGTGTAATCATGGCCATAATGATGTCTACAGGGCACTTTAGTAACAGATGTTTAATCTTGGCCATCGTGATGTCTACAGGGCACTTTAGTAACAGATGTTTAATCTTGACCATCGTGATGTCTACAGGGCACTTTAGTAACAGAGAGTAATCATTGCCATAAGACTGAGCAGACTGATGATGGGTGGGTGATTGCACGGGCAACAAGGACCTGAAAGCATCATTCTTATAAACTGTGGTTAACTTCAGAAGTTGATGTATTTCCCGGTTTTGTATACGCTTACGTAATTTTGCAGAACTAATTTCTTCGCACACCTCGTCCAAATAAAATGGTATATAACAAATGGCCGCTTATTTTTGGGAACTATATATTTAAATGGAAATAAATTCGTTACTCAAGAACGGGCTTCAAAGTACAGTTATTCTCTAAAAGAGTGGTTCACTTCTTCCTAACACTACTACTACTAGTAATGCTTTATATAATAGAACAGTAAAGTAAAAATCGTAAGTTGTCAAAATTGTCCAAAGTTTCGTGGGCTAAATTGTCAAAATAATTTAAATCAAATTCGTTAAGTTTCAAATAATTGTCATTCTTCACTATTGCTTTAAACTATAAAGATCGTTTAAGATTTTGATCAAATTAATTATAACATTAAAATAGCATAACGTCTACAACTGAATGGTTTGAACTACACCTAACAATGTTTCACTTTTTGGGTCTTCATTATAATTTACAGAAATTGAAAAATTAAATGAAAGGCATAAATAAATATATTTTTTTGTGTTGTTTGCAAGTTTTTCAGGTTCTGACATTCTAAATATTTTATCTACAAAAGTGTGTTCTTGTTTGTTTGTTTGTTTGTTTTGGAATTTCGCGCAAAGCTACACGAGGGCTATCTGCGCTAGCCGTCCCTAATTTAGCAGTGTAAGACTAGAGGGAAGACTAGAGGGAAGTGTGTTCTATATAAATATGTTTTATATCAAATAATTATACTTTATCTTTAATGGGTTTATTTACGATCAATTTGATGACATTAGCTATAGTTCTTCCTATGGCTAACTTATCTGTAAGTTATAATGAAGACCCAAAAAGTGGAAAATTGTTAGGCGTAGTTCAAACCATTCAGTTGTAGACGCTATGCTATTTTAAAGTTATAAAAACAGCTAAATAAATTTCTAGAATATTTATACTTAAAGACCCATATATTAGGTTCACCATTGAAAATGATTATAATTCATGCCTTCCCTCTAGTCTTACACTGCTAAATTAGGGATGGCTAGCGCAGATAGCCCTTGTGATAGCGCGAAATTCAAAACAAACAAGCAAGGGAATATTACAGCAGAGTGGTGATGAAAATGAGAATCAAATATATATATATATATGTTTGTGTGTATATATATAGAAGCTGTGAGGTTACTACTAGTGACGATGAGTAATTTCTTCATAATATACCCCTGCTGGCTTTAAATCGTATTACTGTGCCTAAACCCGAGATTTTCCACTTACCTGTATTACATTATATATTCGAGACCAGGCTTATTCACATCGTACACCAAAAGAATAAAATTTCTTAAGTACATTGGATTGATTTGCCAACCCTTTTTTATTTTTTGTATGCTTTTAAAATAAAAGTAATTTCAGTTGTCTCACTACAGGAAAGTTTATTTAACTGTATATGTAAAATATAAATATTCTTAATACCATTTAGTCCATTACTATCCTTTTGACTCTAGTACTGTGGAGTACCCTTGAATTCATTATTATTATCGATTTAACGTGACTTACCGGTTTGAACTATTCCGGCGAAAAATATTATGCTCGAAATAATCATTGCCTTAATTTGACCTAACTATTTTGGAGAAGTAAATATTAAAATTAGCCTTTTATAACTAGTCCTAATTTATTATATAAAAACTAAAACTCTAGCTTTCCGCATCCAACTCCCACTGGCAAGCACGAGGATTCTTTAGTATAGTTCGTCTCAGAAAGTAGGTTTTGTAGGATTTAAGAAGTATATTCAAATGTACGTCACTAAATTCTCCTGATTGGCTGGGGGTGAGAAAGGGTCTCATGCAATCTAGACTCTTTGCCCTGCAGCAGTCACTTTATTAATTTTGTTGTTCTAGACTCCCAGTATTGGTAAGGTACGGGTCAATAGGTCATTTGGAGAGGTAGAAGCTTATCATGCAGAGTATGATGACAGACAAGTGGTGAAAACGTGTTCAGTAGAACAGCTCTCAGTTCTATAAGTACAAAGTTTGTTTATTTATTTAACGATTTTCACACAAAGACTTTCGTCAGCCGTCCCTAATTCTGAAGTAATAGACAAGAGAGAAGGCAGCAAGTCAACATCACCCATCGACAACTCTTGGACTACTCTTTACCAACTAAAAATGGGATTTACTATCAGATTATAATTGGGGTTGGTACCCACAGCCTGCGGTTTGTGATATGAGCGTCCTTTTCCGAAAAAAAAAATATATATATATGAAAGAGAATATTAATAGACAGTTAATAGAGTAACTAATGTTAAAATGTTGAACAGTAAAGTTAAACACTCTTATTATCATGTAAAAATAAGAAAGTGTGACTTGCTTCAATGTTCCAGAATAATGAAACATGTGTTTATGACGAAACAGATGATTGTAGGAACTAATAACTACATGAAAAGGATGTTACGAGAAAAAAATATTAAGGAAAGTTACAGAGAAGTACAACTTACGGGCCACTTTACTAAGGTTTTCATCTCCTAAAATTTTGAAGGACCAGTCACCACGATAATGTCCCGAAATCGGCGTGACCTACTCTTCAAAATTCCTTTAAAAGTCTTGTTCGATTGTAATTCAGTTGTTGAGGAATAATGTCTGATGTTGGCAGAACATTACAATAGCCAGTGCAATGTTCATGCTCGCCTCCACCCCTTTAACCCCCCCCCCCAAAAAAAACAACACTCAATCAGACTAAGACTCGGTTATTTTACCGGCTAAAGAAAGCTAACCGGAATAATTACTGTGCTGCTCTTCGAACCACGAACCACTTTTGGTCCTGGAAATTGCGAGCTCGGAAAATTGTTGCAACATAATCCTGAAAGAGCATAATCTGTCAGTACAGAAATCAATCATTTAGTAGACAATCTAATGTGGATAGACTCTAATGATACACCTTTTTGATACGTCATTCAAAATAGTTGTCTTTGATAGCAGTGATTTTGCAGACGAAACCCGATTATCATGCCCATTTGAAAATTCCACAGACACTTGCTCTTACTTATTGTATTGCGGACTTACCACGACGTCCTCTAGATCTCTGCAGTTACAGATCTCAAGCAAACAACTAACATTTTAAAAAACATATTCTGAACGCGTTGGGAAGGATAATAACGTTTTTATTCTATGTACAAAACGTTACACTGCTTCCAGAGAAGTAAATTTATAATACTTTATATATCGAATAAAATTTTGTTTTCTCTCGTGACTATAGGATGAATGTAGTTGTTCTCCCCATTACCTCTTAGTTTCTCGACAGTTTCCCCTTTTCCCCTTCAAGAAATAAAAATATCCACAAATGATTTTATTTCTAACAATTCACTAAACTTCTACTTCAAAAAAATTAGCTTAGATTACAACTTATTAATTTACAGCACTCACAAAGCACTATAACACAAAACATACGAGAGTATAAATTATCAGGCATTTTAAGTAAAATGAAAATAAAAATTCAGCCCCGCGTAAAATTTATCTGCTGTTGCATTTTGTCCTATTTTAGTAGTAACTGTCCGCGACGCACTGACATGCAGTTACATATTAAATTGTTGTTATTCCAAGTACTTCTTCCATAAAACGTTTAGGGCCTGGCATGGCCTGGTGGTTAGGGCACTCGACTCGCAGGTTGCAGTATCAAATCCCTTTCAGCCACAGGGGCGTTATAATGAAACGGTCAATCCGACTATTCGTTTTTAGAAGAGTACCCCAAGAGTTGCGGTGGGTGGTTTTAACTAGCTTCCTTTCTTCTAGTCTATCACTGCTAAATTAGGAACGGATAACGCAGATAGCCTTCGAATAACTTCCCATGAAATTCAAACCAAACTTATAAGATACATGTGTTTTGTGAAACACAATTAATATTCGATACATACATATAAATGTGTGTGTGTTAACGTTTAATGAAACTTCAAAGACGAGGTACGGTATTCATATTCTGTGAAAGACTTACATCAGTGTGCAGTTCCTCACATAACGTATAATTTTAAGAAGCTGATGCACAGTTCTAAATTAACTAATGTGTAGTTTAGGAAAGGTAGTTTCTGTATTTCTACAACAAAAACACCCAAAAAGTTCAAATTGTCATTGTTTAAGATAATCTAATTTTCACATGGTTTTTATGATGTATATGCATACATTCAGTTATTCGGGAAGTTTGTTTGTGTGGAAATAAGCACAAAGCTACACAATGGGCTGCCTATGCTCTGCCCACCATGGGTATCGAAACCCGGTTTCTAGCGTTGTAATATTCGGGAAGTCTTACTGTCAGTAGATTTTTTGGAACCAACACGAGCACGCTATACATATTGTGTTGAGAACAAAACATCAGTTTGTCTCAAATTATGCTACTGATTAATACACATTTTAAAATTAAAATTAAGAGATGTTATGATTGTGAATTCACAGGTATATGCACTTCAATTAACTACAACAACTGATTTAAGATGATGTTGCAGAGACGCCTTAAGACAGTATGATTGCAATAACTGTTTCAGGGTGATGTTGCAGAGAAGCCTTAAAACAGTGTGACTACAATAACTGCTGACGACTGAGCCACCTAGGGAGAGGTGGGGGGGGGGGGTATTTTGATTAAGAAGTTACTCAAACGGCTTAAGTTACATGAAAAAGTAGAAAGTGTGCGTTTTAATTATCTTCAAATAACAGCAATATGAATTCTTTCAAAGGTTTAAGTACCCAACTTTGTATGCTACACAATTCTTGTTTCAATGAAAGACCATTTGTTCTATGAAAAAGTAGTGTTTGGTTGTTGTTTTTTGTTTGTTTGCCTGCTAAGAAAACAGGAAGATATTTTATTTTCATTCATTTGCTTATACTTTATCTTCTCATTGTATTTTATATACAAGATTTCATAATTTATTAAGGCATCTTTCATTTTGTAACTGTATCGAATAACAAGATATAATTTTTTTCTGCATTCACTGTGAGTTTTCTTTATTCGCCTATAACTTTTTAAATTAGAAGTAATATTTTTATATCAGTATCTAGTTGTTCAGTAAATAAACATCCGCGTTTATCTGTCCAGTTTTTGCCTCTCTCGCAACTTATGTAAATGTAAGTAATTATCGTAATAGCACCTAAAGAGCGTTGGAATATCATGTTTAACCAGTTTCTATAGAACTCAGATGAAGAACTAGTAGGCTTCAAAATTCAACACGGATTGCTTTGACCCGCAACGCCCTGAGTGATAATACTGTTCACTGAAATATATATCTAATTAACATCATATAAACCCACCCTACACTATATGAAAACACCCAGTCAACAACCCTTGTATGTCAAAAATTACTGTCCCATTTATTTAATGTTGTGTTTCCAAACCTTAAAATGAAATATATTACTGCGTGAATAAATACTTAGATAAATTATAAACCAAAATAATTCAATGTTTTACAATATAAACCATCTAATCTCCCAAAGTAACGACACATCATTATAAATTACCAATTACAAAATTAACAGTCACAACGTTGTCCTCCATCCCACCCACCCCTGATTGTATTTCTAAAAACCGATTAGTGAAAGCAAAGAAGAATATTTTACAACGTGTGAACCGCACTACATTTCACATTCCAGTGCCGACGAGGTCTTTTGCCTAATAATAGGGCTAGAACACGACAGACATAATAGCGGTCTAAGCGCTACATATATGTAATCATTTTTATGTGCAACAACTGTTAGATTGAGAACCAGATTAAGCAACAGAATTGTAATTATTATCAATTTTATTTAACACAATTTATGAATGATTAATTTACTTTACTGCAAATTAACGAAACATTAACTTTTCTATTTACAGTGGCAATTAATAATCATTTCCTTACACACTTAAATGTATATTTTAACTTTGTCCTTACGATTTCTTAAAATATTGTTTCTAAATAACTGTTAGTACAGAAATATATACAAAGAAAAGTGTAAATAAATATTTGAAACTGTGTAATATGTTGCATTTTCGTAATCAAGAATAAATAGAAACATGGCAAGATTAAAAGCGTGTCATACATGTGCAAGATTGCTATCAAAGAGTCCAAGGTTTCTTGATTCTATGTACATGAAACTTGTTTGACCAGTGACAACAATCAGCACTTTTATGTGGACACGAATACAAGTTTGAATTAAGGTCAGCTTGTGATCAGTGTTAGTTCCATTTAGTTCGGCTATGCCGCATGAATTTTTAAAGAAATTGGGTGTCTTTTAAAAATGGTATGGTTGTCATAAATATATTACTATACTGCATTCAGTTGTGAGCCGTCAAAAGTATAGTGGGTGTATCTGATGACTACGACTATGAACGATTGAATAGTCAATCGTTTCAGTTGTTCATTTCACCAGGTAATAAGTTTAGCATTGAGAATTTCTTAGCTACATTTTTGCTGTAATGTAAGAGTATTAATACAAAACATTGAGTATAAACCATATCCTGCGCTACATTTGTGATGTGTTTTCGAAGAAAAAATATATCGTTGTGTCAGATGTTTTTCTTTCGTCCTTACTTGGTGAATTATACTATTTTCATCTCCGACAAATCTAGAGCAGTACATTCTAATGCAGACGTCTTTAATATACATTTTTGCTTTTCGAATATCTGTTCAAGTAGTCTTTCAAAATTTTAATTCTTTAGAGTCGGAACCCATAATTCTCATCCCGAATATCACTTTTATCACGTTTATGGTGGTAAATAGTTAATATTCGGGGGCAAATAACAGCAATAAATCTTATAATTTTCTAATTTTTCTACATTTACGAAATGCTTCACATAAGTTCTTCCTAATCAGGGCTCTTAGTTTTTCATATTTTAGTTAGTTTAAAAACTATAAGACTATTGTTTTGTTGTTACATATTTTGAAGCAGACCATAGTTATCTCAAATAATTGATACTGGACTGCTTAATAAATTAAAGCATAAATGTATAATAAATATATCTTAGTTTCTATAAGTTATTCCAAAAATTAGGTATAAATATACTATAGACACAGTGTAGTTTGTCATCATTTCAACGGTATAGAACTCTATATTAACATTTTTGTCACAAACACTTTCAATATAATATTGAAGAAAAAAAAACACAAAGACAATTGTACGTTTCACAAAAACTTAATTTCTTCATGACCATGATTTTGCCAGTAAAGGCATCACCTTCAGGTGAAACCATGGTCGTGAAAAAATTAAGTTTTGTGAAACGTACAATTGTCTTCTTTTTTTTTCTTTCAGTTCAGTAATTACGGAGTTTCACCAAGTACCGACGGTTTCAAGTATCACTTATATACTATAATTCGAAGAACATTTATCACAAATTTTGTGTGCTGCTCATGGGTTTATTTACAAAATATTACAACACTTGTTTTATTTTACAGCTTGAAATCATCATAATAACATATTACTTTTTAATTTTATATAAAAAAAAATATTTATAATAAAAAGAAAATACTGAAAAGATCCCTTGCTGATATGCAATACAAACAAGAACAACAAAAACACAAAAGTAAATTAGGATATAATAGCTATTTTTGCCGCTAGATGCCGGCACTCGGCCTTTGCTTTATAATATTTCTTTAATATTATTACTTCAAAGGATATTAATAATGCAATACAAATAAAGTATTAACCCTAAAACCCTATAAAGACAAAAAATATTCATATGGTTCGCGTAACATAATGGTACAGATTTCTCCGTGTATGCAATCATTTTCACAAATAACACAGATTTTATGAAATCAACAAAGCGTTATTAACTTCAATCAGAATGCGAAAATTCAAACCAACTGACTTTTATTCCAACTACAAAAATTAAATCATACTTCTTATATGAGTGAATGGTTCACCCAGGGGTTAATGAGATCAGAATCGGGGTGAATAAGTGTTAACAATTATAAAACACATTCAAAAGCAAAAGTTATTAGTTATTGTTATTTATTTAGTTGCAGTTTTATAAATACATTTATTTTTTATTTTATGCTGTATTCATTGTATTAGTAGTTTGATGTATGTATAAATCATAATAAAAATTCTGCACTTTAATTTAATACCTTTTTTTTTTTCGAACTGGAGTGAGTGAGCTGTTGTGAAAAACCTATAGGAGTGAATGATACTGGAAAAGGTTGAAAAGCACCGTACTAGACTGGAAAGAGTACCTAGCGAGTTTGCCTGGGAATTCGCTATCTTGGAGTTGTGTATGTTTTGTTCCTGGTTGTTGTCAAAACTTGCGAAGGTAAAGAAACAACGCATTTCACAGCCTTTTCTAATCATCATTGATACTTTTACTTCTACGAGATTTGAGAACATATGAAAAAATATTTTTACGTTATTCAGTCATGTTTCTTATTGTGATTACAAATGCGAGTACAAACGCGGAATAATCTTCCATCCGCGTTAAACCCAACCCACACCCCTGTTACTAATACCCACACAAAAACTACTGTTTTATTGTTTATTATTATATACTTGGTATGTCTTGTCATTCTGTACGTGCCTGTTTTTCACTTTATCTGTGTATATTATTAATGTAGTTTTATGTCATTAGATTTTTAAATGTGTTTATATTCGATGTTTGGAATGGAAATTAGGAAGCTTTAGTATTTTTCTTGCACTCTCATGACCGTGATTCAGGCCTGTGAATCCAACTCTAAGCGTGATTGTGATGTAGCACAGTGACATCATACTTTATAGTTCTATTTTGAACAGGTGGAAAGACGGGCTGGGATTTTGGTCTCTTTATCTTTGTATGTTCAGTACATATTAACATTTTAACTTTATTTCAGATAATCAATCAACTCTGGATATACCCAAGCAATCTGTTCATGACACCTAGGTTAAAGTAAAAAGTAATGGCTTATTACAGTTTTCAGTGATATACGTAGAAATATGTAAAGAAACCTGTTTGAAAACTGTATGTTATAATAGGCCTTATATACTGAAGATATGTGTTTATGAATTCAATACGTTTATTGGTCTAACTACCAGTACCAATTTCTCTGGAAGATTATGCAAGTATAAGTTTTGAAATTTAATACTCCTGTTGAATTTTCAACAGTTTGTATATCTACATTCAGTAGATAACCATTTATGCATGTTGTAGGTTTCCCAAAGGTCCAGAGAAAAAGGAAGTTTGTAAAAGATAAGAAGGATCTAATGAAGAGGCACAAAGGCTGGGAGCCCAGACTTTAGAACATGGTGTACAGTCAGTGTACTTTAATTTAGATAAAAACTGGATAAAGTGTTAGGCTACATGATAAAGCTGTTCCTTCTAAGTTCTATTTTCATTCCACCTCCTCATTAGCAAAAAAGTACATCAATGCAATAGTTTTCCCATTGTTTATCTAAATATATATACGTACCTAAATTATTAGTAAATAAGTTTAATGTTAGTGACATTTGAGCCTGCCTTCTGTTGTTATGGGCCAGGTAATGGTGTTAAAATATGCTGTATACATTTTATGCAGAATGAATAACAATTACAGTATGCAGTATAATATGGACATCCTATACAATTATAAGTCCAGGAATAGCTTTCCAATCAAATATTACACTGTTTACTATTATAGTTTAGCTTTATGGTGATCAATCCATTTTATGTTCCAGACAATCAAGCTGTGAAAATTTGAAGACAAATCTAAAGAGGTCCATATCTCCAGAGCAACCACAAAATGATTAGTTTGAACATGCTGTTGACCAGAAACAAGATGGCAATTCATTATTACACAAAATCTTTAGCATTTCCTTTAAATATGCATTCATCAAAATTCTGATTGTCAAGTACATTAAATATTTATACATTTCCCACTTACCAAATATTCAGTTCAAATTATTTAATTCAGCTGTATCTTACTACATTATTTATACTACTGCCCCATAGATCTTGTGAGAATTATCAAATTCATGGTACCTGTAATGAATTATTACATAATTTTAAAACTTTGTCAGCTGTTCAGTTTTCAACAAAAGTATCATGAACTTTGAAGTTTTTAGAGAAATGTATCTAACAAATGACATACCAAAGTTTTAAAAAAATATCTAAAGAAATGTGATTTCCAGAGCCATTTTACATTGACCTATTATGTTTTGTTGACAGCTAGCCAAGTTCAGAAATCCTGGAACAGGATGGTGGCTGCAATCCTTATTCACAACTAATTGATTATTGGCTAAACAAAAGTATGAAAAAATGATATAAAGGATATATTCAAACATCTACTAGACTTTAAGATAAGTATTGTCAAGCTCAGTATACCGTTGTACTATATGTGTACAAAAATCCTTTTAAATACACTATATTTGATAAACAGAATTTTTAAAGAATCATATCAGTTTGAAAAGATTCCACACTAAATTCATAACATGTCAAATAAAACTCTAAATCTTGTTTATACATAACTGAACTTGAAACATTTTATCACTGAAATAACCAAGGTTAATAAAAAAAGAGGTACATACCAACAAAATTAGCATTGAAAATTATTTAAAAAAAAAGCCTAAGCTAAATGAGTTACTACAAACTAAAAGCCATCTATTGACAACTCTTGATATTAACAGTTACTTTGCTACAAATATCAACACTTTAGAAATGTTTGATTTATCAACAGCTGTATAGTGATAACAACTAACAATTGTTCATATGTTTGGTAGTTTTTTCATTATTTTAAGAAACAGTTATATATATATATATATATATATATATATATAAAACACACATTCACACAAACAAGCTCAGACTGACAAATACCAACATATAACGTGTAAATAAAAAAGGTTAATATTTAGACATGCTTCTTTCTCTCTCTCTTTCTTCTCATACAACTATTTAGTCATAATTAATTCAAAAAATATTTATAATTAATTATAAATAAGTATTATGAGGTCATACCTTCTTATTGACAAATATCGCCATCTATACTAATTTCATTTTTTTTAAGTCAACTGACTTTATTGCTAGTGAATGAAAAAACAGTAACATGGTAATATTATAACAGTCTGTTGGCCTTATATATATATCATTCATATTAAAATTGACAAAATTACCATACAAACATTTATAGTGTATTTTTCTAAAGGTCCTTAACAAATAACATTATCATTTTTATTGATTTCTATGCACGAAAAAAAACAAAACAGATATAATAATTGGACATCTCCACTGCATTTGTTTTAATACACTTTAGATTTTAATGTTATAATGTATGTACATATTAATTAACTATATTTGTTTATTAATTTTTGACAGTTACCACTGTACAGTACTAATTACTCTGGAAGATTATACAAGTATAAGGTTTAAATTTTGCAAATTTCTGATTCTTCCAAGTTATAGCATACATATAGGGGTTGGACGAAAAAATTAGAAACAGTTAGCAGAAGTGGTTTGAAATAACGCGTGGTTCTAGCTTATGCTGTGAGAACTTCCTCAGTTCTTTATAATAGGGAATCCGTAAGTTCCCGAAAAGTTGTGCTGAGAAATTAGGTTCCATTCCTCGAAGTCACTGTGTAACATAAAGCTCGGCTGTCTCATTTATGGTTGATGTTCTTCCAACCACTAGTACTTTTACCTGATGAGACTTAGGTTAATCACCATGATGTAATAACCTTTGACATTGTTCCTCTTGCAAAGCCAATAAGTTTTGCAATTTGATTCCCCAAAGCACTTACAATCTGCCCCTTTTGAAAGTCAGTTAAGCCACGCTTGTTTTCTATGTTGTTTGAAACTACTGTGGAATAGGGCTTAAATATACTTAAATAACTCAGTTCTACCTGTCTGAGACATCATGGGAATAACAACTTAAGCAGTCAGTTAATGATATAGTTCATTTAACATTTGGGAAAGAATGAGTACATCTTTAAGCAGGTATTTTTATTTTTTTTACTAACCCCTTTATGTATAGAAATGTATGTGTATAACTTACAACTTCTTTATTAATATTAAATGTTTATTCATTGCAATATGTTTATCAGTCATACATTAGTATGTTATACATATATATATAGCAAACCTTAGTGTCTGTCTGATTGTTCATCTGTCTCCCGTTTATGCTGGCCTTTTTCCATGCTGCATTTGAAAAGCTCAACATTCAATTTTGAAATGAAGGGAGAACATTCATGCTGATGTTCATGCCAAATTTTATTTCGCAAGTAGAATATTCAACACTAAGTTGTGAGGAGTTAATCACACTATCATTCACATTTTAAAATGTGATGTAACTTGAAAAATAAAAATGTAGATTTACCGTGTTATTTTTGAGCGGCTCCTAGCATGACTGAAATGCTTAACGATTACTTTTCGCAGTGGGTGGTATAAGGAGCTCAGAGCTTTGGCTCCAAGTGAAACCAAGAGTGCAACACAATTAACCTTTTTAAAGTCCATGAAATAATTTAAATTGTAGATTAAGTTAAACTTTCGCTGTCACTGGGGACGGGTACTTTTGCTCGTTCACAAATAGATTCATGATAACAGAACATTAAGGAAATATAATCATTTATTAAGCTACTGCATTTCATTTTACCCCAATTTTCAGCAGTATATCTGTAAAACAAGAGATTCTTGAAGAAACCTTGGGGTGAAGGATTGAACAATAAAAATTGTATTCTAAAATTAGAGGTCTTATCTGTGTATTGTCAAAATTATATAGAAGATTCTGAGATAAAATAGTATCCTCTGAACGTTGCACCGTTTCATGAAAATTGGTTCCAGTAGAAGTTAACTTATGACAGTGAGCACAAAAAACATAATGTGGTTGTACAGCTGTTAAAAACTGTGAATCTCTGTCAGACAATGCTTTCTTTGTGAACAACAAGGAAACTTTTCCCTTTGTACAGACCTTCTTTTTTTATTTGTAACATTAATGATGTAGCATGTATGTAATTTTCTGCATCAGTTGAAGTGTTGCCTTTAGCTAGATAGAATAAGTATTAAGTTTTTCCAACAGACAAAACATTGATTATATGTAAAAATATCTTGACATGACATAATATAGAACTTGACTACATATCTCACAGTTCTCGTATTAGAAACGTAAAATTAGATACTCTAGTTTAGGGAATCCCATTTTATATTAGACATACAGTTTTAACATGGGAAATAATAATAATACATCATTTTTACTAAAGGCTAAAAATATGAAGTAAGACTTTCCTAAATTATTGACCCCCTGCTGACTCAATGGTACATCTGAGGGCTTATAACACTAAAAATCGGGTTTCAATACCCTTGGTGGGCAGAGCACAGATAGTCCATTATGTGTCTTTATGCAACAAACAAACCCAAATTGTATTTGATATATAGTAGTAGTAGTAGTACCATCTGCTAGCCACATTTAAATTAACTGTTATTTCCTAATTTTTTTTTTTTAACAAAGCAAGTTTTTGAACTACTCATTATAACAATTAATTTTCCTTAAAATTATTGAAACCAATTAATTATTCTAAGGTACTTTATTTAAGCTGCCTAAGTCCATATCATAATTATTATTATTGCCAATTTTTTTCTTTCAAATTGTGTTATTTTGTACTAGAATATTCAGCAAACCCCAAATCAATTCAAAAGTAATAGAAAATATGAAAGATATACAAATTATAACAAATTTAAAATGTTATCTATATATATATATATATATATATATATA